GTATTCGCTTTGATCAGTTACTTAAAAAGGTAGACTTGTCTAATTTGAACCTGAAAGGTAAAACTGGCTTGGCTAACAGCTAGTTAAGACAAGTGTTTATGCAACTGGCCTCATGACTCATAACCAGTTGATATATGCCACGTGAACTAGACTTGTGCATCATGCTATTGTAAATATGACTATTTAAAACGAATTGGGGTATTGTATTGTTGTAGAGTGACAAAGTGTTTGGATAGAAGAAAACGGACAAAATTGAACCGCAAAATGTGAGAGGTTGAACTAGTTGCAAGTCATGATATTTACGTTAATTGGTGAACGGCACTGACTTCAGTTACCTGTTCACACCGTCTAATCCGATAATAAGTTTGATTCCCAATCCTAAACACTAACTGTGTGAATAATAGCATCCCAAACCAAAATATTAACACAAACACGCTGTTCAAACACAATTCGCTCACCTTCACTCTTAATTTCCCATCACACCCCACTGCTGATGATTGATTTCTTCAGGAAAGGAGGAAGGCCAGCGTCCAGCAGCGGTTTAATCCCATTCATAATTCACTCTGATGTCATTGTTGTTGCAGGATCTCATTTTAGCAGGCATCAGCACAGTCATGCTACCTCTTGCCGGCATTTCCACGTAGGCCCCCAGGCCCAAATCCCTGTTGATTTCCCAATGCCCCATCCAGGACAATCTCAGACAGCAATGAGCCATCACCTCGGCCCCGCGCACCAGCCAGCCGCGGCGTTACATCCACCCCTCAACCACATACCAGCACCACCGTTCCAGGACATCCCGGCCCCACCCTTTCTACCTCAGGCTTTACACCAGCAATACCTCATCCAGCAGCAGATCCTGGAGGCCCAGCACAGGAGGATACTTCCACAGTCCAGGTATGACGCCGTGTTAAACTCATAATCAATTAGGACAATAAATCGATGCATCGCAAATCGAGAAATGCTTTTGCATCGATTCTGAGATCACAGTGTTCAAGACGGGAAATAAGAATACTGTGGTCTACAGTGTCAAATGCTGCACTCGAAAGGAGGCTTGGCTCGAGCTCCGAATTCAACCCCCTAATTGCGCTACTACATAGAGGGAGAATGACAGAAAAAGAGGTGGAGATGGGGAGGTGGAGGGATGCCGGAAAAATTGTTGCTCATATGCTCATAATGATGATTGACAAGACTCAGATGATCAGGTTCCTCACAAACGTACATTTGGAACCTTATTTATGTTCTTAAGGCAAGATACTACAGGCACTGGTTTTGAGAATTTGGGTTATTTGGCTTTTCATAATATATTGTTTCAGACTAGTAGAAAGAAAGCATCCAAAATACACGTTTAAGTGTTCATTTTATTGCACTCTTCAACGGCTGTGAGTTTTTTTCCTCCACTTCAGCAGCACTTACATAGACCCAATTTTACAGTTTTATTCTTATCCAGTGTTGCCAGGTCCGCGGTTTTCCCACGCAATCAGGCTACTTTAACACTGTTGCCGTGGGTTGAAGCGATACCAATAACGTGATATTTAGCCCCTTGAATGCGAATTTTACCAGGGGAACCCTACCAAAAACATGTATTTTACATGTAATTAATAGCAACATCCCGGATCAACACTGTTCATGTATCGCAGGGTACGATTAGATTAATTTACATTTAACCGGTTTAATATGAAGAGACAGTGAAATGTAGACCTTTGTTTATGTGTCTTTGCCCTACACCGTACAAGACGCGAGAACAGTCCGCTATTTAGGTTTGTATGGACTCACTAACTTTAACGTTAGCTAGTTTTAGCCAGAGATACCTTGCTGAAGCACAAGATGACATTAACGTTCTGCTTTTGAAGCGAATTACAAGGATGTTCACAGTGGGCTGTGTTTACATTAATCTCGCATCATAAAAGCATAAAAGCTGATGTGCAAGTACATTACTTCTTCGTGAGCATTTGAGTGTGCGGTTAAAAACTAGCCTAGAGCGCCATCTGCTGTTAAAAACTAAGCCCAGAATCGATTTGAGAGAGAATCACGATGCGGATGACATTAACGTTCTGCTTGAGCAGATGAAAATTGTAACTTAATGAGAGTATGACAACCAGAAAACTAACGTTTTTGTCTTCATTGGGATTGGAGGTGAATGCTTTGGGACATTTTGCTCCATTTTGTTTGGGTTTAGGAAATAGAATAAAATAAATTCCATTGCATATCCTCTCAGGACACCTGGAACCACTGTTACAAGTTCCTCAGGCACATCGTTTTTCCATTTTTTAAGCATAAACCCCATAAAAACTGATGCAAGCTTCGGATCTTCCAATGTTTCTCTATGCCGCTGAAACCTACAGATGTCCGAGTTCCGCTCCCCGTGCAACTGATACTCCACTGCCATTGGCTCATCTGCGTTCGAGGGGAGGGGCTTGCCGATAGGTCAATTCTTAATTAAATCAATCAACTGGGGAAAAATGGTGATACTGTTAGTTACATTCTTAACCCTATTCACCTGTAGTGTCTTGCCTTAATTCATCTTCCATGTCTTATTGAGACATCTCATAATCCAGCAATCAAAACTGGTAAAATATTTGTTTTCTGGTACATTTTCCCAGCAGACATGCTCCAGACCGAACCCTTCCCCATCCGCAGACGCTGCGGCCGCCATATGAATACCCGGCATCCATTCATATTCCCCCACCGCCGCCGGTGCCGCAGCAGCCGCGTTACCTTGCCGAAGGAACAGATTGGTACATATGTATTCAGTGACTTCATAAACTAGTACTCTGTTTGGCTTTGATTGACTGACGCCGTTCCTGTGTTCGCATCCAGGGATCTGAGTGTGGATCCAGGCCTGCCGCAGTACCACGTCTCTCCCCTCACTCAACATTATCAGCATTACCTGACCTCTCCACGACTGCATCACTTCCCCAGGAACACCACCTCGGCACAAGTGGTCAGTCTGAGTCTTTCGTACCCACTGCAATCCTTCATATTTACATTCATGCACTTGACAGATCCTTAATCCAAAGTAACTGACCAGTTCTTGCCTTCCATTGGTGTTGCTAGTGCCACTTATCTCTTTATTTACTTCTTCATTGGTGCTGTCATGCACAGGTTGTCCATGAGATCAGAAACTACCCTTATCCTCAGTTACATCTGCTGGCTCTCCAAAGCCTCAGTCCGTCTCGCCATGCGTCTGCTGTGCGGGAGAGTTACGAGGTACCGTCACACTTGGTGTTCTTTATCACACATCTTCTTAATCATACATGTAATGTGACGTGTTTACATGCGGTTTTGATTCCAGGAGCTCCTGCAGTTGGAGGACAGACTGGGCAATGTGAACAGAGGGGCTGTGCAGACCACCATCGAGAGGTTTACCTTTCCTCATAAGTATAAAAAGGTAAAACCACAACTGTACAATGACATTTAAAAGTTCCTGTCAAGACTGTTGTGTGTCAACATTTGTTACATCCTTGAATAATTATATTCCTTATCCTCCTGTTGTGCTGGGGTTAATTACTTGAAACTACTTCTTGGAATTTTGTGAGCTTTTCCTCAATGATCATGAATTTTCTCTTTGGTCGTGAGTGTGCATGAAGATTCGACATTTAGTTGTGCTTTGGAAAGGCTGTGCAAATTTTGGTTACATTGATGTGTTGGAGTCAAACTGAGCCTCAATGGGTTTCCATGCAATTCACCAAAAATCAAGATTCTCGATGATCATGAATTTTCTCTTTGGTCATGAGTTTGCATGAAGATTCGACATTTAGTTGTGCTTTGGAAAGGCTGTGCAAATTTTGGTTACATTGATGTGTTGGAGTCAAAGTGAGCCTCAATGGGTTTCCATGCAATTCACCAAAAACCAAGACTTTAAACAAACCTACACCATTTTAAATATGGATTAAATATATGGATATGATGTGGGTTTTAAGGTGAAGGTTGCTGGAGAATTACTGGACCTTTTATTCATTCCTTGTTGAACCTGTAATTTATGAAGTGTAAGTTTCTTTTGGATTAAAAAGCATGTGCTAAAAGACTAATAGCTAATCGTGTGATTCGTAGAGAAGACCTCTAGAGCTGAAGATTGGCATGGATGAAGAGGAGCTCGACACGGATGAGAAATGCACAATATGCCTCTCGATGCTTGAAGACGGAGAGGACGTCAGGTAGTTTGACGCTCTACTCAAAACCCGTTCAATGGTGAAAATGGTGCCGGTTATCATTCAAGAAATGTTTTGTTTTTCTCTCCCTAGGAGATTACCCTGCATGCACCTCTTCCATCAGGCTTGTGTTGACCAGTGGCTGGCAACCAATAAGAAGTGTCCCATCTGCAGGGTAGACATTGAGACGCAGTTGTCCCCCGATAGCTGATGTCTCGTGTAGCACTAGCTAAAAGTCCTGTCGTCTTTCTTCGTCCCCTCGTGGGCACTTTGCCAAATGTGTGTCATCTCCATCACCTCTCACCTCTGACCTTTGCCTTCTGAGCCAACTGACGATGTAGAACGGGGAAGACGAAAAGCGCTGAAGACAGAGTCCAGCACATGGAGAAGAACGAGTCTGTCGATGAAGATGGTTTCAGTCAAAGTGCTCTGCATGTGTGTGTGTGTTTAGGACGGCAAATGCCGCTCCGAATGTCTCTGAATGATCTCAAATGAAGACCAACCAAATGTTCTCAGTGTTCAGTAGGTCACGGATGAAGCATTACAGCATGAACGCCACAAAGTCCGACACATTACACGTGGTTGGTCATGAACTTTAAACGTAGTTGAACGAATCATTTGTGAAAAAAACAAAACAACGGGAATCAAAGTCATTGGCGAATGAGAGAAGCGTAAGAGTAGAACAATGACCCTGTGTTTAAATAAGCTCCGTCGTCGTGTCTGTGATTATCGGAGGTGATGCTTGACGTCCGTATGTAACCGTAAGGCCAAGCTTGATATGAACCGTGACAGTCCGCATTTTGTGCTCGTGACGCCTCCGACGCTTAGAAACGTATCCACCACCAAATGCATGTTGAAGCGAGAGTCCAGGGTTCTTCTGACGAGAGGTCGACGTGCATGAGGATGTTTCCTGCGTGATACTCTACTAATCCTGAAGACACTGTGTTCTCGATGCGTCTCCGAAGTCACCACGAGTGAAATATGTACCTTAATGCCTGTAGCACAAGCACACGTTGAATAGTAACGGCATAACTCCGTGTTTCCATTCGCTCTGTGACGCGTGGTCGTAAAGCAGCATCTGTAGAGTCATAATGTGCATGAAATCTGTTTGCTGCCATTTCTAGAGGACATGACAAGGGAGTAAAGCCATTTGTTTTATAGAAACCAAACATAACTTTTCTAAGCTGTACTTCATTATCACTCTTCCTCGTTTGATTCCAGGTTGCCAACCTGTGCGAGGCTGGTACAACTTCTCGACATAAGTAGCTGCAATGCTGGAAAAAACAAACAAGCAAGTTATTTATTGTCGTCTTAATGTAGCTAGTGGTTATTTTTGTAAATGCACTCACTTTCTGATGAGGTCGTGTGATTGTTTCTCTTTCCCTGCTTTTGCATTTGCACTCAGTTTCCTTGCGTATCGTGCACTCCATCCAAAAAGAGAATAAACGAAAAAACAAACAAACAAGGGAACAGACTTTTTAACAGCGCAGTTGCTTTGCGTAGCGATAGTCGTTGCCTCACTGACCACTTTAAATATACGTGACTGTTTTTTCGTAGCATTTCAGATGTCTTCGTAGTGTGTTCGACGAAATAACCTTCTTGACTTTGCGTTCGGAACTTCTCCAGAATTCAAGCGTTCAGCTGCTTGGAGGCCATCTTGTTTTCGATCTTTCGTGTCAGTGAGCGTCCGCCGCGCGATCTTTTCTCATCGTCCGTCTGCGTTTTATAGTTTACACATTATATTGTGCGTCGAAATGCCTTAAGTATTTAACAATCATAATTTATGACTAACTTTACCTACTAGGGTGCGTATTTAAGTTCTGAACTAGTATCGCAATGTAATTGGTCGGTTTATTTATTTGCGTCAGCATAACGTGTGTATAAATACCTCATTGTGCTATACTTTAATGGGAGTGCTTTGCATGTGGTTGTACTTTAAGGGGCGTAAGTGTCATTGTTTTGCATGTCTCTCCTGTTTTTGCACTCTCGGCTTTGCTGGCCTCCTGCGAACATCGTCCGCTCGTCTCGTCGCTCTGAATGTGTTTTCAGTAGCGAGGAGTGAGTTCAGCGCTTACTGTGATTGATTATAGCTGCTTGTCTTGTGCCCATCTGTCTTTAACTTTCAATTACAGCCGGCCATTGTATGCTGTATTTTTAATCGGGATTTAAAGTGATGCTTCCTTTTCCCACGAGTAGCAGATTTTCTTTACGTATCGGTACTTCATAAGAGGGGCTTTAAATGTCTGAATGCAGGTCGTGTTTTGGTACATTCTAGCGTAGCTGCTGTACGTTCATTATATTTCGCGATTTTTGCGCGTCAGGTTATTTAGCTTCGATCCCCCAAATATCAATCTGCCAATACGGCGTTGTGTTTTACAGTAGAAACACAACGATACTGCAGATGACTCTTATTTCCGGTGAAATAAGCGTTTTTCCTGCCATACGAAACACTCTGTACCTGGAATATTTTCTACACACTTAAAAATTGTTGCGCCGAAATAGACAAAAAAAAGAACAATGGCTTTATATTTTATGATTTGTGTTTCTAGCCTGTGTAGCCTTAAAGTCTCTTGATTTGATCCATCTCTCCAGCAGATTTTGGGCATAAGCAATAGTAGTATCATGTTTCGCTAACAGACTAAACCGTAGATCCTAAAGCACAAGCTCTTGTAATGCATGTCTTTCTCAGGTTTTAATATGCGTATGAGAATGGATACATATGTTAAAATATTTGACCATAAATATTTCTGATGTTTTTTCTGCTGCTGACATAAAAAGAAAAAAGAAAAAATAGTTGAATAACCTGCCAGTGAAAGGGAAGTGGCTCTTTGTATAAGACACTGCTGTGTGCTGTTACTGCGCAATGTTTTCTGACATGAATATTTTATAGCTCAAGTAGAAAAATATGTATTGATAATATTTAAGCAATAGCTTGGTGATTATAATGTATGATAACTAGATAAGTGTATATTGCGTAAAAAAAAAAATCTTAGATTCACTTCGGGTGGATTTTGTACTGTATTTATTACTAATGATGATGCAAAAAGTTGCATAGCTTAACCCAAATTTTCTTTCTTTTTTAATTTCTTGTCTTGTATATGACCCTTTTTGTATGTGTTTTTTCAAATAAAATGTTGAAAATGCCTCAAAACACTTTCCTTGTCGTTCCAGGCACAGTCACATGTCAATAACTGCGAAGTATTGAGGTTCAAAGCAAGCAAAAAGAAATGACTCGCATTTCACACATATTGCACCACAATGATTCAAATTCTACCATATCATGAAGTGAAAAGTATTAAAAATCTAAATGTGTAAACAAAGCTCGGTGCAAAAGAAACACCTGTATTTTAACACTGTAAGTGTGTGTGTGTGGGGAGGGGGGGGGTTTAGGAGAATAAAGAAAAAAGTAAATTAAAGAAATATGCTTCTCGAAAAACGAAAGTCACGTGAATGATAAAGGCTATTTTCACTTCTAACTGCGAAATTCGACCAAAAAAAAAAAAACAAAATCTAATACTTTACATCACTGGATATTACTGTTGGTCGTTTAATATTTCTATCGTAAAAAGCGAGGGGGACGATTTGCCCATTTTTCTGATTATCCAATGCAACAACTGCAG